TGTTCAAAAAGTGGTTTGAGAGAAAATGAATAGAAAAACGCTTATTGAATAAAACACTGAGAGGAAGAAACAAACTGGACAAGGCTTCTCAGTCTCTTTTAGTCTAGCCAGATGAGTTAATCAAGAAAAACAAGCTATAATCCACAAATACTTAGAGTCGTTAATTCTAATAATCAGGCTTTAGTAAATCAATCAAGAAGATCAGGAAAGAGAAGAGATCATCGTAGAGACATGAGTTGTTGAGACAAGCTGATTACTTAGGGTTCAAATTTGACTCAGAAGGGGCTTAATAACAACAAAAAACAAGCTACTTGATGAAACTAATCTAGTCTGAATTTTGATGACTAGAAATGGATGAAGGGCAGAGAGAGACAGAACTGAGGAAAATTCAACATTACTCAACTCCATTCCTTCATTGACTTTGTAATAATTCACAGTACTCCAAGAATTATTCCAGCCTTTAGGTTTCAGCTCCCTCTACCACATGTACAGGCCAGATTACATAATCCAACTTTGAAAATCCTCTCTGAGCTTGTTGATTCCGCTTCCAGAGGATTTTCAGACTCCAGACCAACACAGAACACCAACACCCAGAACCAGATCAAGCCACCACTTATCAACCAGAAGGACTCCACTTTTCCCACCTTTCCCACTACTCAGTGTCATTGGTGTCATTAGTAAGTAACTTCTCATAAGTTTTAGCTAGCACCTTTCTGCTTGTTTCTTCTCTCTGTCTCTCTCAACCTTTTCACTTCTTCTCCAAACCAAAGCCCTGATCAAAGAAAGCAAGCCATAGCTGCTATTACCTCAACTCTTCCTGTTTGGTAGTATAACTGAAAACTACATAGGTTTCCCTTTAAAGAGCCTTGATCCTAGATCTAAAAAATTGTGGATTGATCTGATTCATCAGTTCAATATCCCATTTCAGTTTCTGTTGATTTGGAGGCGTCAGAGTTAGCTCCGCTTATAACCAGCCATCCTTAGAGGAAAGTAAGACTGCTCAACTTGATTCTTCATCATAAAATAAATAAAGAACAAAAATATTACAGTCAACTCTGTATTAACCCATACCCCTTGGTGGACACAAAACACTATGGGTTAATAGATAGCATGGGTGGAGGAAGAGGCTCTTTATTAACCATGATTCATGGGTTAAGAGGATTCCCTTCATTAACCCATGTTTTTATGGGTTAACAAAGAGGTGAGGGAAGATCTGGAATTTCTCTCCATCAAATGATGATTTCATGGTTTTCGTGGAGAGAAAAACCACTTTGTGGTTTTCAATCAAGTTCCCCTCATTATCCATCCACTCTTTGTTGGATTTGGTAAGTTCATTCTGCTTTTGCTTTTCCACCAGTTCCTTGTTTTTTGTTTTGACTTGGTTCTTCAAAGCTTAATATTTTTTTGAAAGTATATCAATGTGAATTTTATCAATTGAGCTGGAATAAGCAAGATACTCAGGTTTAGCTGAGTTGTATTGGTTGGAAGACAGTATATCACCCTGTTGGAGGAGGTATTTTGAAATGGGTGGCTCTTCCATGATAGACTGGTTGGAAGGATTTAGTTTTTGGAAGCAAGAAAAATCTGAACCACCCCTCAGTAAGTTTAGAGAAAAACCCATGATTTTTTGAATTTTTCTCTCTATATGGTATGGGTTACTGAGTATTAGAGAGTTATGGGTTTGAAAGCCTTTTTTGGCTGTCCACCAACTTGGTGGACACATTTTGCCATGGGTTACAGGAGAGTATGGGTTAATAAACATATGGCTTAGAGCAGAGTTGACTGTATCTCTTTCCCTCAATCTTCTTCTCCTCTTTCTTCTACTTTTATTGTATTCCTCTTCTCTTAAGAAATACATATAAAAGTGCCCCCCCCCAAACCTGGTGTCCTGCTGTCACTATAGAGACCCAGGCTCACAGGTCACAACAGCTCTGGAGCTACATGGGAGCAGCAATCAATGTTACCTGATTTCACCTGACATCCAGTGAGCATACTTTTTCCTGGTGAAATAGTTAGGGAAGCAAATCTAAGTATTCTTTGAAATTTTAAAGATGGGTGACAACAAATAGTCTGACTCTTCAAAAGTGTGGTAGCCTCAATTTCTAAAAATTGTGAATCTGTTTCATAGAGGAGGCTGTAGGCAATAGAGGAGGCTGTAGGCACAATTTAGTGGATAGGAATTGCCACCAATGGGAAAACTCATTAAGATGGCAAAAAAGAAAGAAGTTTTTTGATGAGAAACGAAATGAAAAAAAATGTGGAGGACTCCCACCATCAGGGGTGGGATTATGTGATGCAGGGCTCAACAACCTGGCTCCAAGCTAGTTGAATCCTTGCTGTTGAGCTTTCAAAGCTTATGCATAAGGAGCAAAACGTTTGACCAGGAAGGAATCTTTGAAGAAGAATTGTTTTGCAGACATGGACAACCTTTTCTAAAATAGCTGTAATTTTGATATCGGTTGATGATTCAAAATCAAGAAAATTGCTCTGGAAGAGAAGAGCAATGTTTCAATTAATTATAAGGACAAAAGTTGAAAAAAGAAAACACTATGGATTGAATGTAGATAACAAGAAACGGAAAAACTCAATGTTATGCCGAGAAACATTTTCAATAAATTATCAATCCATCCTTGGATGTTAACGTTTGTATCATAAAAATGTATCATATTTCAAGGTATCTTGTTTATCTGTAGTGACTTTCCTTTGTGGCTGCTTGAATCAATTTGTCCAACTTTTCTGCAAATTGGAGTTGATTTTTGAAGATTGAGTTATCAACATTCTGTGGCATAAACTCAACCAGAATTTTTGGATAACTAGTATGGAGAAAATTCACTGTGTGGTAGTTTATCAATAACTGAACAGTATGTCTATTTCCTGAGACATTTTCTTGTGGGATGTGGAAGAATTCAAGAATGTCTTGTATTGCAAGTGTGAGAAACACTTCCTGATTTTTTACTTTCTTCAGTTCATCTTCTTTCATGGTGCTTAGACTTGGGTAGATTCTATTGATATCCTCAAGAAACTTGGGTGCAACAAATTGTTCACGGATCCTAGTAAAAGTTTTGGTTTCTTCTTTCAAGCCATTGACTTTAGAGGGATTTTTTAGATTATCCATCATGTGTTTCAAGCACAAATATATGGAAAGGTTTTTTTCATGGGGTGAGATCGCTATATTGGACCCAGTTCGTAATGAGAAAAACAGGTGAAGAGTGTTCAGTGACACAAAAACCCATCAAGTCTCTCATTACCATGGCAAAAATTATAGCTGCGTGGAATGCCTTGAAAATTTTGGAACATACCTGGGATAGATCTATGAAGATTGTTTACCATGCTGTCAATATAGGAAAATTCTCCCACAAAGACCTGCAGAGAACCTTGACCCCACCAGTCATGCAGAAGCCACGGGTGATTCATGAGAGGATCAACATGTGCCAAAGCTGCTTCTTCCAGAGCCTTTGATTTTAAAATCTGAATATGTTGGAGGAACTGTGGTGGCCCCATGTTGCAATTTTGAATCAGATCTCCTAAGAGAAATAAAACTTTTGAATAGCCCAATTTGAAGTGCCTGTTGCAGAACCTGTATTTGCTTAAATTTTCAGTTTGAAGAGCATCAAACTTTGTTTCCAAAGTTTTCCACCGCAAAACCAGGGGTTCAGAGAGGGCATCTTTGATATCGTCGAGGGGACCACCAGATAGCTCAGCCGTTGGACCAACTTCCGTCGTCCGGGGATTGATTCGCATTCGAGAGCCTCCATGCAACTCAAACAATCTGTCCTGCATTGGCTCCTTCAAGGTCTTGTGAAAGTCTTCCAATTCTTCAATGATGTCTGTTTCAAACTCATCCTGCCCAAATTCATTTTTGAGCTCTTGGATTATTTCTTTAATCCCCGTTTCTTTCTTTTCCAACACACTCAACTGGTCTATAAGTCAAGCAATTTGTCAGAAAGATGTCCGCTCATAGATCATGCATCACTGAGAGAAAAAGAAATTTACATTGGTTTGCAGCTTTTTCCTTGCGAAATCTCTGTCGCAGACACGACTGTTTTTTGCCGACTCCGGGTTGCCCATGATCTATCATCGCAGCATCACTGGATCCTGAGCAACCATCATTTGGGGGAAGATTTCGATTAGATGTAAAATCAAACTGAATCGGAAGAAAACATTTGCCACCTACTTAACGAGATGTCTCTTGGCATTTCCAGTAAGGAGCATGCCAATTGACTAGCTCCTGAAAGAAACAGAGAGACATAAAGAAAATTCCGCTTTGATTGAATCATTAAGATGCAGGTTGCAGGGAAAGAGATTGCGCTGAGCTACTTGAGATGCTTTTTTTGGCCGCTTGCCATGAGCGGAGGAAAGGCTGATGCCGTCCTTTATAAGCTACCAGAGGCATGACTTGAAGCAAAGCCCCACTGGCCGCAACTATCATCAAGAGTTATGGCGACTCGTCAAAGCACAAGGTGAGACTGTAACTGTGATGATGCAGTTGTAGACTGAGACTTACACCTGTGATATCGAGGCAAAGAAGCGTTATCAATCTATTACCCTCCTGAGGAGACAGTAAAAGCGGTAACATTTAACCACAACATCCTAGTCTTGGCTCAAGATACAGAGTGAGAGACAGTGATTCATCCAGCCTGCCAAGGCCCTGCTGTTTCAAGCTTGATTGGCAAGCTACTTGATGAGACTGCTACACCCCTACAAATCAATTCTTGAGGTCTATGTGACACTTACGCCTGGCATCAAATATACAGCATTTTGAGTGTGAGGGATCTTGCTTCTATACACTACCAGTAAAAAAAACCTCTTCTCATTTCTGAAGTTTCCTCATAAGATGCTAAGATATAGTACCTGACTGCAATATTTCCATTGCTGGCCCTAATATGATTTTTTGATTTGAATGCATCTATGTATCTGCAACTGTCCATGCAGCAAATGAAAGTACTCTTTGGAAATTTTAAAGATGTGTGACAAAAAATAGTTTGACTCTTTGACAGTGTGGTAGTCTTAATTTCTAAACATTTTGAATCTATTTCATAGAGGAGGCTGTAGGCATTGGAGGAGGTTTTAGGCATAATCTACATATAACTAAAAAAATAGGGTTAGAGAGCCAAACAAACTGTCATGCAATCTAACGCCGGCGTCTACCTCCAATTCACATTTGTTGGATTTGTCGACGCAGGTGTTAGACCGAGGCAGACAGGTGTCCAACTCAAGAAAACCCCAAAGGTCATCGAGTAAAACCCCCAACATCCGGGGCAAAAACAAGCAGCCTCCCCAAATTTGGGGGCATATACTAGTTGAGTGAATAAGAATTTCCACCTATGAAGTATCAATGAGATGGCAAAAAGAGAAAATTTTTATTGAGGAAAGAAATGAAAAGATGGTTGAGTAAAAGTTCTTACAGTTATTCCAACAAACATTGTCCAATCCAAAAAAAATTTTCCTCAAATAATTTTCTTTTCTCATCTATGCATATGCATAAACCACATCAACTCAACAGGAGTCAACCAAGTTGAGGAGGACTCATGCCATTGGGGGTGAGATTATGTGATGCAGGGCTCAAAAACCTGGCTCCAGGCTAGTTTAATCCTTGTTGTTGAGCTGTCAAAGCTTATGCATAAGGAGCAAAATGTTTGACCAGGAAGAAATTTTTGAAGAAGAATTGTTTTGCAGACATGGACAACCTTTTCTAAAATAGCTGTAATTTTGATATTGGTTGATGATTCAAAGTCAAGAAAAATGCTCTGGAAGAGAAGAGCAATGTTTCAATTAATTAATAAAAGGATAAAAGTCAAAAAATAAAACACTATGGATCAAATGTAGATAACAAGAAACGGAAAAACTCAATATCATGCCTAGAAACATTTTCAATAAATTTATCAATCCATCCTTGGATGTTAACGTTTGTATCATAAAAATGTATCATATTCCCAAGGGACCTTCTTCTATCTTGAAGTGAATTTCCTTGGTTGGCTGCTTGAATTAATTTGTCCAAATTTTCCATGAATTGGAGTTGATTTTTGAAGATCAATTTATCAACATTCTCTGGCATAAACCCAACAAGAATTTTTGGATAACTATTATGGAGAAAATTCACAGTGTGGTAGTTTATCAATAGTTGAACAGTCTGTCTATTTCCTGATATATGTTCTTGTGGGATGTAAAAGTATTCCAGAATATTTTGTATTGCTCCTGTGAGGAACACTTCCTGGCTTTTTATTCTTTTCAATTCATCTTCCTTCCCAATGCTGAGTCTTGAGTGGATTCTATTGATGTCCCCCAGAAACCTGGGTGCAACAAATTGCTCACGAATCCTAGTAAAAGCTTCAGTTTCTCCTTCTAAGCCTTTGCTAACATTGGGGTTTTTCAAACTCTCCATCATGTGTCTCAAGCAAAGATATATGCAGTCGGTTTTTTCTTGGAGAGAGATTTCTATATTGGTTCCAGTTTGTAATAAAAAAAGGTAAAAAAGAGGGGTGCAGTAACACAAGCAAGCATTAATTCTCAAGTTACTCTGGCAGAATTATAAAATGAAATGCATTAGACAGTTGAGAACATGCATACCTGGGATAGATCTGTGAAGACCGTTTACCATGCTGTCAATATAGGAAAATTCTCCCACAAAGACCTGCAGAGAACCTTGACCCCACCAGTCATGCAGAAGCCACGGGTGATTCATGAGAGGATCAACATGTGCCAAAGCTGCTTCTTCCAGAGCCTTTGATTTTAAAATCTGAATATGTTGGAGGAACTGTGGTGGCCCCATGTTGCAATTTTGAATCAGATCTCCTAAGAGAAATAAAACTTTTGAATAGCCCAATTTGAAGTGCCTGTTGCAGAACCTGTATTTGCTTAAATTTTCAGTTTGAAGAGCATCAAACTTTGTTTCCAAAGTTTTCCACCGCAAAACCAGGGGTTCAGAGAGGGCATCTTTGATATCGTCGAGGGGACCACCAGATAGCTCAGCCGTTGGACCAACTTCCGTCGTCCGGGGATTGATTCGCATTCGAGAGCCTCCATGCAACTCAAACAATCTGTCCTGCATTGGCTCCTTCAAGGTCTTGTGAAAGTCTTCCAATTCTTCAATGATGTCTGTTTCAAACTCATCCTGCCCAAATTCATTTTTGAGCTCTTGGATTATTTCTTTAATCCCCGTTTCTTTCTTTTCCAACACACTCAACTGGTCTATAAGTCAAGCAATTTGTCAGAAAGATGTCCGCTCATAGATCATGCATCACTGAGAGAAAAAGAAATTTACATTGGTTTGCAGCTTTTTCCTTGCGAAATCTCTGTCGCAGACACGACTGTTTTTTGCCGACTCCGGGTTGCCCATGATCTATCATCGCAGCATCACTGGATCCTGAGCAACCATCATTTGGGGGAAGATTTCGATTAGATGTAAAATCAAACTGAATCGGAAGAAAACATTTGCCACCTACTTAACGAGATGTCTCTTGGCATTTCCAGTAAGGAGCATGCCAATTGACTAGCTCCTGAAAGAAACAGAGAGACATAAAGAAAATTCCGCTTTGATTGAATCATTAAGATGCAGGTTGCAGGGAAAGAGATTGCGCTGAGCTACTTGAGATGCTTTTTTTGGCCGCTTGCCATGAGCGGAGGAAAGGCTGATGCCGTCCTTTATAAGCTACCAGAGGCATGACTTGAAGCAAAGCCCCACTGGCCGCAACTATCATCAAGAGTTATGGCGACTCGTCAAAGCACAAGGTGAGACTGTAATTGTGATGATGCAGTTGTAGACTGAGACTTACACCTGTGATATCGAGGCAAAGAAGCGTTATCAATCTATCACCCTCCTGAGGAGACAGTAAAAGCGGTAACATTTAACTACAAGATTGTAGTCTTAGCTCAAGATACAGAGTGAGAGACAGTGAGTCATCCAGCCTGCCAAGGCCCTGCTGTTTCAAGCTTCATTGGCAAGCTGCTTGATGAGACTGCTGCACCCCTACAAATCAATTCTTGAGATCTATACGCCCGGCATCAAATATATAGCATTTTTGAGTGGGAGGGGTGTCGTCCAAGCGATTCCATCACCACCTGGCGGGCAAAGCCTGAACCAGCATGGCATGAAGGACAGATCCTGGGCGAGCTCCACTTCTGCCAGATCGGCGCGGGCATGTATATCCTGCCCAGCGAGCCGGCAAAGATCATACACATTAGCCTGACGAACTGTCTCGCCGAGTCGGTACCCTCGGCGAAGAACTCGCTGCGCCAGTACAAGCCGGACCTACTCCTCGAGGATGTCTCCTCCTCACCGAGGGGAGCAGGGCTACTGCACATGTATGTATGCAGAAAAAGGAATCAATTCTTGAGATCTATACGCCCGGCATCAAATATATAGCATTTTTGAGTGGGAGGGGTGTCGTCCAAGCGATTCCATCACCACCTGGTGGGCAAAGCCTGAACCAGCATGGCATGAAGGACAGATCCTGGGCGAGCTCCACTTCTGCCAGATCGGCGCGGGCATGTATATCCTGCCCAGCGAGCCGGCAAAGATCATACACATTAGCCTGACGAACTGTCTCGCCGAGTCGGTACCCTCGGCGAAGAACTCGCTGCGCCAGTACAAGCCGGACCTACTCCTCGAGGATGTCTCCTCCTCACCGAGGGGAGCAGGGCTACTGCACATGTATGTATGCAGAAAAAGCAATGATCTCATTTCTGCATGAAATGAGCGATACATGAAATGAGAACTAAGCGAACTTAAATACGTATTTTTTTGTTTGGTTGGTTTGAGAAAAACAATGAGTATGTAAACAAACCAGAGAATTAAAGGTTATAAGGGGAAAAAAAGGAAGAAAGAAAGAAAAACAAGGGAGAAAAACGAGAAGAGAATACTAATAGGAAAAGAAAAGAGGCGATTTTTAGATATGATTTAGTGAACATAACAAGGAGAGAAGCGGACAAACTACAACAACAAGATGATCCGAATGAGGTCCAAGAGAAGACTATGAACGATGAACTCGATTCCGCTAGGACCCTGGAGCGCTTTGCGAGCACTTTGATCGGCTTTGCTCTGTCCGCTGCTTGAATCTTCATCTTCATCATCCGCTTGGCTATTGGAATCCTCGAATTCTTGGAACAAGTCGAACACTTTAGTTGCCGCTAAATCGGTGGCTATTCCATCAAAAAAGCCGCATCCCAAAAAAAGAGAAGGTAAGATACTTGATTGGAAAGATTGAAATATCAACAAAGTATAATGTAATCTTGCTAACCATTTGATCCCAGCCCGATTTTCAGGTTCGACCAGGACTCCACAAACAATTTGCGGGCGGCCTCTTTACGCTGAGCCTTGATCTCAGCGACCCGATCGCGCTTATTCTGCCGCAGTTTCTTAGCTTTCTTGTCTTCCTCATCATCGCCCAAGGATTGGTACTGATACTGCTGCTGAGGCTGAGTGGCGGCGGAAGATGAGGACGCGGAGGGCGAAGAGCAGAGATCGAGACTAAGGTCATCGAGACTATCGTCTTCAGAAGAGACAAGACTGCCGAGCGACTTTTGCGGCCGAAGCTTGCGCTTGTTCTTGAAGCTCTGGCGCTCCTCATCAGGAGCCGTACCAGCTTCCTCCTTGGTGGAAGAAGACAGGCTGAGAAGGGCGGAGTTGATGAGATCGACATAGGTCTCAACCTTCTCGAACTTGTCGATGATCTGGGAAAGTGTGAGTCGGATAAAATGACTGAAGCTCGTCGTCCTCAAGATGGTCTCCAAGACTCTCAAAACCCCTCGCTTCATCGACCATGGCGTATTGTTTCCCGAGCCGCCTTGCCGCTGATCAAGCCCGTAGGCCGCCTCAAGGATCGAAATCAACCCAATGATCACCGTATCAAACTCTTTGCCGCTCAGCGTCGTTGTCGCTGTGGCTGATGATCCTGGCAATGTGTTGCCCGTCCCATTGAGTGGTGCTGTTGATTTGCTGTTGTTGCCCGGTGTCGTCGGAGGCTTACTGGTCTCAGGCAAGTTGCTTCCAACCAATGGCTCTTGATTCTTTGACGTTGTCCCGTCGACACTTGCAGACTGTTGTGGATTGGTGGTCGACTCGACATCTTGCGATGAAGCATTGAAGGTCGAATTGTTCTCATCCCGGGTTTGGGGCGCGGCAGATAGAAGGCTACCATCAGATGTCGGTCGAGAGCTGGGTATTGATTCCCTATTTCGCTTGGGAACAGCGGACTGTTCTTCAGTTTTGTCCTCCTTTGGTCCCGTCTGACTATCATCGACCAATTCTCCGTTTCCACCAGTTTGATGAGCGTCTACTGTACTTTTGTTGTTCACAAAACCTTCAGTCACCTTGGTTGATTGATCAGTGGGATCGGAGCTGCCCAAGTTGGAGTTTGTCGAATGAGGGAACTGCAATGAGTCTCTATGGTTTCCTATTTCCGAAGATGTAGATTCTTCATTTGTTACCGGCGAATTTCCGAAGGGTAAACCAGAAAAGACACCCTTGGAGAGTCGGTTGAGTCCCAGTGTAGCAAAATCCACCGGCTTACTGACAACCTCTTTTCCAACACTAGCGACGCCCTTACCGAACGAGTCTAAAGTCGAAGAGGTCGTGTTGAAGATGTTATTGATCGCCCCACCGCGACCACTCATCCCAGATCTTTCTTTCGCAAAGAACTTCAAAACCGGTTCTGATTTCGAATATCTCTCATCACTTAGCAGACATTTAAGATAGGCTTCCAATTCTCGCCGGACATGATCGATAGTTTTAAAATTCAAGTTGGTCGGTAATAACGCTCTGGGAAAAGCTTTCGTACCCACTCCTACCAGTTTCTTTTTGTTGATAGCCAGGTCCATTCGTTCAAGCTCGGGCCATCCACGGGTGACAATGAATCCGGGGACAGAAGGGGCCTCGACAGCGATCAACAGAGAGATGTCTTTTTTCTGCTTGATAAGCCCAGTCTTGGGATCAGTGGCGGAAGGAGGTGACATATCCGTGACTGAAACGGAGAAGGAGGCAGGATGAGAACTGTGAGAAACAGGTGGTGTGTTCATCGAGTTGGATCGCGAAATAGGAGAAGTTAATGTATTTGTGTCATCAAACCGGGTGGTAGAAGTGGAACCAGTCGAGTGATACGGATTAATTGACTGGCTGGACTGGTCGGGATCCGAGCCTTCATTTTCGCTTGCTTCGTCGAGCGAGTAACCTTCGGTCATGTCACCTTCTTCTGGGACGCGAGCCGAAAAAGGGGACGATTGACTAAACGTTGCTGAGTGTAACGTAGTAGTGGGAGATCCAAAACCTTCGTGTCCGCTGTTTCTCTGTGGAGAAACTCTGAACCCAGCTGGGGGTGAGGTGACAGCACGGCTGACCGAAGGGGCGCGATGTCTGTCAAGGATTGCCTCAGTTGTACTATTTTTAGCCTTGTCCCATGTATGCTCATCTCTTGAGCTGGCCAGGTCTTGGGATTGCATCGGTGGGCTGTCGACAGTATAGCCGCCTGAGCCAGTCGATGGAATATTGGGCAGGGTCATGTAGTGTATCTTATCCCCCCGAGTTGTTTCGTTTGGAGAAGTCGACCACGGCTGATAATCGATGTCTGCACTGCTCGCGGGCTTAGAGGTTACAGATGCTTGATTTGACTGGTTGGATTTGATGGAGCGCAAGCGATCGAGGATCCAATCCTGGAGGTTACCAAAGACGGGTGAGCCAGAAGATGACACAAGCTCAAGACGTCTCAAGGTTTCAATGATCGCCGATTTCCAAGTACTAGAGATATGCACTTTAGAATTTTGATCGGGTTGGCTTGAAATATGCTGATCTACTGCGTAATCCATAAGCGGGGCCAATGCACTTAGGACGGAGATCGCGTCAATCTTGACTACGTCTGACTTGAGATTAGCGCTCTGACAGGTCTTGTGAAATGAGTCGAAATGATTGAAAAGCTTGACAAAACATTCCACTTGCACTGAGTCATTGGATGAGGGAGACAGTAGAGAGGATCTTTCAAAATCGGTGATGACGTCCAGGGGAGCCCACTTCGGAGTATGCTCAAAAAAATCTTGCAGGCGAACACTGCCGTTGGGCTTGGTGCTGATGGAAAGATTGAAGTTTGCAGGAGATTTGAGATAAGCAATCAATACATCATTTCCAGTAACAGATTGGATATCATCTGGAGTAACAGCCATGGTCGAGGGTGCATCATTGGCAGAATGAGATCGAGCGGGGCTAAGACTTTGGAATATCGAGCGGTGAGGATCATTTTGTTTAGTGTTTTCTTTGATTTGATCGACAACCGCAGCTGTCACTGCGCCATTCGTAGCTTTTGCTGGTGTTGTTGATGCTAGGGAGGCTTGAGTAGGTGTACCAGTTCCTAGAGAATCAATCAAGGTTTGATTAAACCAGTCTTGATTGTAAGAGCTGGTGATTGATATCAATTGAACCGTCAGGACTTCGGAGACCAGGTTGAGCGTTAGGGGAGATGAAGTGATAGAGGAAGAACCCAGGGTCAAGAGAATTTCTTCAGAGATCCTACGAGTCTGAGTCAGCCGTTGAGCGATTCGATCCTGGGAAGAAGTTTGGGATTTGGAGTCGGCGCGATCATTCAATTCGCGGACGAGGTTCATCGACAAACAACCAATCAGGTAGATCATCGTTTCTTTGCTGGATTTGGTCGTCAACTTGGCATGAGCTTTGAGGAGGATATGATTAAGACCATTCCGGAGTTGATTCAAGAAAGCCCTGTCGCCGGTCGAGACGCTGGGTAGGAGATACCAACTTTCAATGTAGTCACGAATGATCAAATCGAACAGGGAGCCAAAAGCTGATTGCAGCTGTTCTGGTAGCTGATCGAGTTTGACGAGGTTCTGGTTCAACTGATGATGGTAATTTGAACTTGAATCCAGATTGGTCAGGAGATGGCGTGATTGAGATTGGGCGCCCAGGGCTGGAAAGGTCTCTGCAAGACGACGTTCGGTAGATAAGGTGGTACCCAGAGTGCTGTCGACTATGCTTCTGAAATCGGGTAATGCAGAGAGGGTACTGTGGTTAAATATGGACGAGGTAACAAGATTTAGTATATCAATCACACGTTGGCATCTCATTTATTCAATTTTGAAAGGATTCTTGAAGAGGAAAATGTGGTATGACTTACAAGGATACGATGATGACGAGGATAAATGAGAACGGACCGATTCTGATGAATAATAAGAGTAAGCCGATCGCGCCTGAGATGAGGACTACTTGAGGATTATAAGTGGTAACCTGATTGGAATCGGCTTGATGATTATTTTTATCCTCATTCATGGTTACGGGATCGGCTTGTTCAGACAAATTTGTATCCATGTTGTTTGTTCTGGGTCGACTAGTTATAAATTCCTCAGGTTGTTTATACGGTTTCCCCCTCGTTGATGGAATGTTACGTTTGAATCTGAAAGGATGGATGGTTAGTCAGGCAGCTCACTCCAGATTATATCAGATTGGGAAGAAGTATTTACATACATCCTTTATAGGCCAGTTGGACGGGTTTTTCCAGAATATGCTTACTGTTTGGTGAGATGCGTGGTGGTTGGTTGGTAGTATCGGTGTGGTTCAGCTTGGGAAATTTCTGAAGTGGAAATGAAAGGGTTGCACTCGATTACGTAATACCCAACAACCCAGTGAGCTCCACTCGTCATAACGATCGAGGATTCCAACTGAGACACTCCTACTCAAGAAACCAGATGAACTTGAAGAAAAATCGCACATTCTGGACAATACTTACTTGAGCATCAGAGGCATAGTAACCTCAGTCAAGAGACAAGAGGAAACAGGCATTTCCCAAACGAACAGGAAAGCTGCAGACAGGGGTTCAATCAATTTTGTCCAGGGCGGCGGGTCAATGGCTGGTCTTGTATTCAAGCCCGGCCCACATCCCCCAACCGCGGGAAAAGCTCCCCAAAGGAATATTGGAGGATCCCGTCGGAGATGGTCTCGAGTTTCCCCGGCCCCGTCCCCACGGGGAGATAGCTCGATCGCAGCTTGAAACACCACTGGTGGCTTCCGACATCTCCGACAACTCCGATTGGACAACATCAGACTCAGATTTCCAGCTTGATCTTCTTTTCTTCCCCCCAGCCTGCAATCAACAGAAAACATCAGCCCGTTTCTCTTCATTCATATCCAGTCCTCGCCATGTCAAACTCTAACAATGTTGTCCGTCATGGCTTGGCCACTTCACTCCCTTCTTTTTAGCCACAAGATCTTGGGGAGACTGACTGGCTCTTTTGTGTGTGTGTGTGCTTGATCAATTCTTCATAGGTTGTCCTCATCCGTCATGGTCAAAGTGAATGGAATGGTAAGTCAAAGAACCCTTCGCAAGACCAAGACCAAGTGTGTGACTCGAGTTGATGATCAATCTTGTATTTATATGGCTATCTATACAGAGAAGAACCTGTTCACCGGATTCAAGGACCCGGAGTTAACCAGCAAGGGACGTGAGGAAGCCAAGCTGGCGGCTGAGAGGCTCAAGAAGCTTGGATTCGTGTTTGATTGTGCATACACCTCGGCCTTACGACGAGCGCAAGTTACGCTCGACATCGTGCTCGAGGCGCTCGACCAAAAGAGCATCCCGATCGAGAAGGATCAAGCGCTCAACGAACGAGACTACGGGGACTTGAGTGGCTTGAACAAGGACGATGCCCGCAAGAAGTGGGGCGAAGAACAGGTCCACATCTGGAGACGTAGCTACGACGTCCCTCCCCCCAACGGCGAAAGCTTGGAAATGACCGCCCAAAGAACCCTTCCCTACTACAATTCCCAAATCAAGCCAAAAGTTCTTGCCGGGAAGAAGGTCTTGGTCGCTGCTCACGGGAACTCCCTCCGGTAAGTCACTTGCAGACCTTCTTTCCATAAGCCAGCTTAGCTGATTGCCTGTCTCTCGTACATCCTTATCCATCAACAGATCGATCATCATGCAACTTGAGGGCCTCAGTGGTGAGGAGATCGTCAAAAAGGAATTGGACACTGGTGTCCCAATCATATACGAGCTGGACTCTGAAGGTGCTTAATTCTCTCCAAGCTTCCTTTTGCTTATCACCTTGAACTAGTTAATCTGATGATCGGAAATGACTGCTCAGGCAAAGTGCTCAAGTGCACCGTCATCAATTCTTGAAAAGTCACCCGAGGAATCGAGTTGTGGCTCAGATCTTTTACATGAGTGATCGTTGAGTTTTGGGGTGTAACTCCGTTCTCCCTCCCTCCTCTTCTTTTATACTAGTAGAAATCACCATTCCTTCTCTGTGTCTATATGGGTTTCTGATCACACCGAAATGTAGGAATCCTGGGAGAAGGTTAAATACCTCTTTCCACCAAAGAAACAAAAAACAAAGACTGTATCATTTCCAAACAAACAAACTGTGCTTAAGAGCTAAATAAGCGCAAGAGAAATCAGACAACAGAGCACAGAAAAAAAACTACCATGTTAATTCTAATTCATGGCTAATAACGCCGTGAACTGATGAGCCGTGAGCAGAAACATCAAACAAAACTTGCGCCATCGTTATCATTTCTTGTACAAAAATTGAAACACCTCCAACAAACAAACAATCAAAAACAGCTAGAAAAAAAAGAGAAACAACAAGAAAGAGTGGGGAGTTTTGATTATAAGATTGGTAAAATGAGAAGATGAAGAAAATGAACAATCAACTCAATTATCATCATGAGTGTTCATGTTTTTTCGATATTTTTTTTTTCGGGGGGAGAGGGGTTTTTTTTTTTTTTGAGTTTCACATTTTTTTCTGACTTGATTGCAAGAGCGAGGGGAGGAGGAAAAGGAATCTTATCTCTATGGTGAAAAATAATGAGCGAGAAAAAAAGAAGGGGGGAGGGGGGGGAGAGAGAGAGATCAAGAGGAAGAAGAGGGACGAAAGTGACAGCGATCGAGGATTTCCTGCAAGCTCATCCCGGTAGGGTCGAATTGATCACGGGCCCCATCGGACCAATCGATGACGACGCTGGGGATGATTTTCTGGACGAGGACGGTTTGAGGGCGACCATTGACGAGGACGGTGGTGGGGGTAGAATGTTCGGGATAGCGATGGGAGATCCTGGGGATTGGGATGTTTGGTGGGGAGGAGCGCGAAGGATGGACGGGTGAGGAGGCAGGCTTCTGGATGGTCGAGGTGAGGCCGTTGGTGAGCTTTCGGAGGACCAAGATCGCCTGTAGTCCACTCTTGTGACTCTCGTCCAAGCTGAAGGTGACCTGATGGATGAACCGGCCGCTGAACCTGTCTCGTGCTTGATACCCTTCCTCCGTACCATTGCTTGCCCGACGCCCATCGCGATAGCCATTTGGTGCGCTGTTGCCGGTCACCATGCTGGACGAGGAAGGATGACTGAGCGGGATTCCGGCGACAGAAGCCGATCGATCGGCTCGGCCTTGGCTCCAGTCCTGTTTAGTTTGATGCTTCACAAGCTGAGAGTCCGACATCCCGAACGTCTTGAGGTCCTCATCCGTCAATGACAATGGTGAGCGCATGCCGAGCGGTAAACAATCTTGTGGGTTTCGGACCCGCTGGAAAATGCTGTTGAGTAATGTCGGTGGTGCGGCCACAGTACACGATCTTCTTCGAGCTACCGCATCTGAATTCATCGACGACTCTCCAGGAAATGATTTTCGACAGTTGCTCGAATTGCCCTGCTGTGCTTCTTGGGCTTCACCACTAGACTGACTCTCATAAAAACCTCTTCCATCCCGCGAAAAACCAGGCGACAAAGGTGATATGACTGTGCTGGAGCTTGAGGAACGAGATGAACTCGGAGAAATAATCGCATGGGCCGATGTTTTGGACATTGTGCTTAAAAAGTAGAATAAAAATAAAAATAAGAATAGGTTCCGTCAACTATCATATAATCCCGACTGCTACATAATCTCTACTGATAATTAATGTGACTATGTACTCACGTAGATGCTGGGCTTGTGGTGGCCTTCGGAATAACCGCCCCGGATTTGCCAGTCATCTGCCACAAGCCTTGGTGATAGCGGAGTCCTTGTTTGCGCTGAGGAGGCTCGTGAGTGGCATGGTCATCTCTGACTCTGTGATCGTCAGACATTCTAGGCGACTGTGATAGATGGCCGTTGTGCCAGCTGGATAAGGCATGCGGTTGAATGATGGATTGTCGCCTGGCATGATGTAAGACGAGTGGGTTGTATCTGAGACAGCCAAACATTGACGTAATATGTAAGAGAGAAACAACGTCAAAAAAAGAACAAACCCCAGGAGCTTCAAGATGCCCATTAGAAGAAGATTAAGGCTTCACTTACTTGTCACATTCGTCGACCTCCCCAGAGTTGAAGGGATGGCTCTGGCGGTTGTAAAGCTCTTCTTGCTCAGTCAAGCCGAAATTCCCGAAAGTTGAACTCAGATCGACATCACTATTCTCATCGTGCCGGGAGTAGCTTCGATGATGCGCCGATCCTTCCGGCTGGATCCTCAGTGGTCGGCTGCCGCTCGGCGATTGAGAGATCGGAGCTTGAGGGGAAGTCAAGAGTAGCGACCTTCTTCTTGCGCTTCCTGGCGAACCAATCTGATCATTCGGCCGGGCGTGGGCGAAGTCATTATAATGACGGTCGCTCTCTTGTTGGTGGTAAATACTATTAGAGCCATGTCTCCTGGAAGAATGATATTGATGTGGTCCATCCTGACTATCACGCATCTCCGCTGGGTTTAAAATATAATATCTTTCTCGGGTAAAAATAAAAAGATGAAAAGATCTTCCAATATTTTTGGAACTAGGGACAAGCTGGTGTGTCTATTTGTAGTGCCTAATGCTATAGTCTATGGGTGTAAGTGTGTGTGTGGATAAACTGATAAACTAATCGGGGCTTCTCGTTTCGACAATAAAACAAATGGCCCGAAAGGAGGAGCTGATTTATATATACGTAATTTGAGTTTAGACGATGTGTATGAGTGATAAGACAGGATATGGCCGATAAGAAATAGTCAGGGCTTGATGGAGAGGTTGGAATTGACAGTCCGAAAGATGAGACGGATTGTTAGAGAGATGAAAAAGTGGTTCAGGAAATTCTTCAACCAATGGGATTCTTGGGCGGGAGTTGAGACGATAACCAGCCAGCGAGGTTATGAGAACTACTGCCCCTAAAAACCTTCTCAATTTTTGTTTATCTTTGGTTCTAGACTGCGAGCACAAGAGGATGTTGGAGATGAGGGATTCGTAGTGTTTGTGAGTGAATGTCAAGCAAAGGAGAGGGGGGGGGGGGAGGAAGAGTCCGGTCTCTATAAATCTAAGCTCAGAGAGAGAGAGAGATAAGAGATGGCTTGTAGGTTGGGGTCGGATGGGTTTTCGGAGAGCTGACTAACCGTCCAACGGTCCCAATTTGGAGCTTTAGAGGAATTTGTAGAATTAAAAGTAAATAACTAAATGAATATGTGTGGCAGATGATTGGGTGATAATGTAGACAGAAGAGTAACCTATGGTGTGATTGATGGATGCAGTCAGAAGGGCAGCCGGGCGTTTTGTCAGCTGTAGAGCTTAAATTCAACTTGCAAGCAGTAGAGAGAGAGAGAGAGAGAAAGAAAGGAGGAAATGACGAACCCCGAACTGAGGATATTGCGTTCCGGCCTAACAGTTTGTTTATCTATGAGTGCGTGCGCCTTGACTGTTTTTTTTTTCTTCCTCTTATTCTTGTTGTTGTTGTTGGTTTTTTTTTTTCGCTTGGACACGACCACGTTTTGCAAGAAGAGCTACAATGTAGAGCCTACAACACCTCAATTGATCATAGAATCTAAATATGTATATCTCTTGTGGTATGTATGTGTGTTTGGTATGTGAGGAGACAGCTGGCAAAAGCTGGCAGAGGGTGGGATGAAGATAGAAGAAGATAAGTGGCTGTTATTTGTGCCCGAAGATCAAGATGACAAGGGCAGTTGGAGCTGAGGAACTATGGGGAAGCAAACAGAGGTTGAAGATGAATTACAACAGAAGAGAGATCTGAGAACAGATTAATTCTCAATCAGCTCAGGAGGGGAAGGGGGCAGACTCACACACAGTCTGGACCCCAGGGCGGGATCAGGCTGATCACAAGTCCCTCTCCGCTCGCGGGGCGCGAGATGGCTCGAGTTCGGGGGGATGGCGATGGAGCCTGAGGGATATGAAAAAAAAAAAGAAATCAATAAGGTGGTTTATTGTTGTTGTATATGTATCAATTTGTACAACAAGAATCAAGCAAAATGGGGTGCGATCTTCCAAGAGAGAAAGTCTCAAAGATAAGGTACATGGCTCTTCTCATGTTAAAATGTAATATACAACGCATTGAAAAAAGGGTTGACTGGTGTACAACAACATCATATCTACATACGCACGTATAAATATGTTATATGTATGTACTGGTTTTTAGTTGAACCCAAACCACTCGGGCGAAGAAGATTGGGAAGATAAACGATTGAAATTCAACAGGCAGAGCGCAGAAAAGCTCTTGCAAGTAAATTGGGGGCTTGATGCGATCTTCCTTGAGGCTCGGAGTGAGCGGCAGCAGTCGATCGCAAACAAGTTCAAGCTGAAGTGCGGATATCATCATCATCATCATCAGCCAGGAGGGTGTCTGAAGTTTGAACTGAAAGGTGTGTATGTACAACAACACCTTCTCATGGTGGCCAGAAGACGGAGAGGGTGTCAACTGGGACTAAGGCATTATCCCGGGGTTCGGGACGGGGCTAAAGGGCTGTCCCGAGGCACGAACCCCGGGGCTTCAGGGTAAAACCCTGAAGCCCCGGGGTTTTTTATTTTTTTATTTTCATTTTTTTTACCAGCCATGTGTACACGTGGTGGAAGCGTCTACATACCGATACGAGGGCTCAATACCAGAATGAAGCGGAAAGCACCTGAAACGGAACGTCGGCCTGCTGGTCAACCTCGGGAAATCATCGATGTCGACTATCGATGCCCTCAAGAAACCAATGTATCTGTGCGCGATGATACTCGACCCAAGATTCAAGACAGCTTTCTGGAAGAACAACGAAGACTCTATCGTCGAGCATTACAACCTATCTGTCGACGACATCGAAAAATCTTTTTTGGATGAAGCTCAGACATTTGAGACAACCCATGCGTCTGGACCTCACGACTCACTGTTGCGACCATCTGCACCTTCTCGATCACAAGATGAAGGCCACTTTGCGAGTGCATTGTTTCAGCCTGCACCAGAAATCCAAGGGATCGAAAGCGAAATCGTTCATTACTTGAAGCAAGATGTTGAAACCCTGAATGCCGATGTCCTTTCTTTTTGGGCATCACATCAAAAATCGTTCCCCAAACTCGCACTTATAGCTCGTCGATACCTCTCAATCCCTGCCACCAGTGCGGCATCGGAACGAGTCTTTTCCACTGGCCGCCGGGTCGTCTCATGTCTCATGGCAACGATCATCCCTCAAGCCATCAACGGTTGAAAACCTGCTGTGCCTGAAGGATTGGTTCCAGGCTTTTGAAGGCCCATTATAATATTGTTGTTACATTTATTGTCTTTTGTTATTTTTCTTCTCAAAAATGAAAACTCTGCAATCTATTTCTGATCGAGAAAAAAAAAATCCTTAATACCTGGAAACCCCGGGGCTTCGGGGTTTCTGTGAGGCCTGTCCCGAGTCCTGAACCCCGGGGTTCAGGATCGGGGTAAACCCCTGAACCCCGGCTTTCGGGATAATGCCTTAACTGGGACGTATCATCGTGATGAATTTGTGGATCATCAGGAAACGTTCTATGTAACAGTTCAACTTGGCTTCATACAAGCAACAATTCACTTGAACAAACAATATCAACCCTACAAATCTACAGCAGTCCCTTAGGTAGACCACATTTCAAGGTTGTGTATGGCTATCGCAGACTTGACTCGCGAAGTGCGCAGGCCCCGCGGTCCAGTCCCCGCTCGAGCTTGAAGTGCTTAAAAAGGAGGACTTAGGTGCTTCAAGATTGAAGGGGCAAAAGAGGGTTAGGTATGTCCAGAGCTAAGAAGCAGCTTCAATAGGTTAAAAATGCGGGCTTCTGTCGGACGGTAGTGATTAAGAATCAAGATTGGTGTGTAAATTCGCCCACCCGGCAGCTGGTCGATAGCTGATTTCCATGACATCTACAATTCGAGAGTATTTAAATAATTTATGTATGACGATATGAGGTAAGGTAGCATTGACGGATCCAAGCAAAGCACATCATTTTGCACTGTAGAACGCGCGATTGAAGTCTGATGGGCGAGCGAAAAGCGGATTGCTCGTTGGGCAATCTTGTGTGTGTGTGTGTGTTTTGGTGGTCGAATGAGCTTGCCCAGGGTGGGGGTCTGTTGTGGAGATACTTACATAGCCGATCGGATTGTCGGGATCTACTTTATTCCACTTTGTATGTAATACAAGTCCAACGATTGTGCTCTTCTGTGGCATGCACTGCAATCAAGTCTGCGTTCCTAACTTCCTCTTTTTTTTTGTGGGGCAACTGCTGGATGAACGATCTTAGTTATTTATTATGTAATTTGATTTCCTTTTTTTAGGTAAAATCTTGAGAACCACTTCGACCGATCAACAGCTTCGCCGTCGCGCCAGGATTGAGAAGAAGGCACCTGGATGTCCGACGCCAAGAGGTTCTCATTCCCGACCAGCAAGCTGAGTGAGAGTGGGGCCTCGACCGGAAGGTGACAAGCGAATGCGGAGAGCAGAGGAAAACCGAGAGGGTACATTTCAATATGCAATACATGAATTTTGGCGATGGGTGAGGATGGTGATGAGGAGTGTTGCAGACTCTTGAGCGTCAATGGCCCGCCGGATGAACGGAGACGGCGCTGGTCATGAGACTCGAGCAACAGGCCAAACATGTTTCTCTGCTTGCAGGCCTCATTGGGCAAAACCTTTCCAAATTCCTGCAACGTTAATCCATCCATCCATCGACCCGCCTTGACCAGTCCATCCGGCATGTTCGTGATCAACCGTGCCCGGCCACAGATCTGCTTAT